TGAAGAAGTGTTAGCAAACTCTTGAGCAGCAACAACAGTACCATGTACTCCGCCATTGTTGTGTATGTTTGTTCACGCTTGCCTTTAAAATCAACACGTACTGCACATGTCTACATACCTAACATGTACTACGCACACGCATGACGTCACCGTTTTCAAAGATTCGCGTTTTGGGTGTTTACATAGAAACGCTAATGGTGGCGTTTTCAAAAATATGCGTTTTCAGTCCCCAAAACGCAGTTTTCGTTTAAACGAACAGGCAAAACGCATAAAGTTTCCCGTTTTTGGCTGAAAAGGTTTTCGTGTAAACGTCCCCTCAGTGTTACTTTAGTATCATTGAAAAAATATAATAGTTTTAAATTAGTTTTTCATTTAAATTTGTTTGTTGAATCTTTTTAAAGTTATTTTTGTGTTTTTTTTTTATTAAATTAAAACGAGAAATGTTGCTTTTTTATTTTAGGTCAGTTAACATTTATTTCCTTTCAAGTAAGACAAGTTTTTTTTTTTTTAATGGCTTTAGCTTAAGTTGACTATAATAAGCCTGGTGTGTATGTGGCTGAAGAGAGATTTTGAAATCCTCACACTCTTTCTCTCAGCTGGGGTGTGTGTTTGAAGGGAACTCCGGAGCCAAGATCAGTTCTTTCCTTGTGACTCTTTTGATGCCATGTGAGGTCATCTGAAGCAATCCTAATAAACTACTGCTCAAAACTGCTGCCATCACTAACATCATAACATGATTCATTTTAAAAGAATAGCTCACCCAAAAGTCTAATTCTGCCATGATTTACTCACCCTCACCAAAACATTGTATTGCCTTTTTCTTACATGAAACACAAAAGAGGATATTTAGTAGAGTGCTCAGGCTGCTCTTTTCCATACAGAGAAAGTAAACAGAGATAGAAGCTGTTGAGCTCAGAAAAAGAAAACCGAAAAAGCACCATGAAAGTAATGTGTGACATGTAGTGCTGCACGATAACGATCAAACTAATCATGATCATTTTGTTGGAAAATTATAAGCGCTGTTATTAATTACGATTTTCAGAAATTTATTTTAACATCTCATCAGAATTATTGCACTTTCACGTGAGCATGAATCAAGAAAATGTAAACCCGTATCGCAGGGTTTTCTGATTGATTATATTCGACAAATACATTAACACGCTCTCTACATTATAAAATCTGGTAAAACCATAAGAAGCTCCTGAAAAGAAAAAACCTGGGCAAAAAAATCTATTTTCCGATTAATCTTTTTTTTAAATGACGTCAATTCGATATCGATTCTCAAAAGCAGCAAATCGATTTTTTCCAGTATTTATTTCAGCACACATTTAAAACAAGATCTGATTAACGTGAATCTTATCATTAGTCTTTTCCACTAGATGTCACCCTTATTTACCTTGTGCGATGTTACAACAGAAATCCTGTCATTCATTCAGCGCTTCTCATGGCCATACGCGCAATTCGTAATGCTCAGGTGAAATGCTGTAGTAATCTGTGGAAGCATTTGATATCACGCATAAGGCGCCATGATTTCCGCAATGAATGAATGGCAGATGGTTATGGAGGACGAGAAATGTGACTTAAGTATAAATAAATAAATAAATGAATAAATATGTAAATGCAGAATTAAATAAATAAATAAATGTAGAAATGTAGGAATGCATAAATATATGTAAAAATAAACAAAAAGTTAATGCATAAATAAATGTAGAAATGTAGGAATGCATAAATATATGTAAAAATAAACAAAAAGTTAATGCATAAATAAATGTAGAAATGTAGGAATGCATAAATATATGTAAAAATAAACAAAAAGTTAATGCATAAATAAATGTAGAAATGTAGGAATGCATAAATATATGTAAAAATAAACAAAAAGTTAATGCATAAATAAATAATTTTGTCAAAACTGTCATTTTTAATTGTGCTATTTTTGTACCATTTGTGTTATACTAATTTTTTTCTACATTTATTTATGCATTAACTTTTTGTTTATTTTTACATATATTTATGCATTCCTACATTTCTACATTTATTTATTTCTGTGTCCTTATGTTAATAAGGTAGGCGGTCCTAACCTCTTTCAATGCAGGATTGGTCAATTAGGCAAACCAGTCAGATTCCAAAATAATAAATATCTTTATTTTTAAAGGAATAATCACATCTGTTTTCTTTTTCATTTTAACAGTAAACCTCTGTTGTGCAGCACTTTGTTTGCCAAAAAATAAAAGGGTTTAATTTTCATTTGATTAGGATAAATTAAATGAATGTTTTATGCCTTCATCTGATTACCAGAAAAATTAAGAACATTTTATAGGGCCCTATTATTGTTTAAAAAAAGGACCCTATACAAAAAAAGAATAGGTTTAAAATACAGGCATGTGGTTCTTAATTTCTTTTTATTAATTCACCATTTGTAAACTGATTCACTGAATGTAATAAAAAAAAAAATCGAGAATCGAATCGAATAGAGAGCTTGCGAATCGAAATCGAATCGGGACATCTGAATCGATACCCAGCCCTAGTTGCAGCCTTATGAGTTGCATGGTCTACTTTTATGATTTCTCATTTTTGTAGCTCAGCAGCATCCATCTACTTTTATTGAATGGAAAAGAGCAGCGCACACATTTTGTCTAACATCTGTTAAATTTTGGAGCAACATGAGGAGAGTAAGTGAGCGATTATTCATTGTGGGTGAGCTATTCCTTCAAGAGTAGTGAAGTAATCAAACTCACATAGTGGAGTAATAATACTAAAACTGTAACGGAACCAATAACATGGACACACGTATCGGGGGGTCTGACGGCTGATTGGTGAGCTAGAGGTGTGATCTCCCCCTCCTCTCACTTTGTCATTCCTAACCATCAAAACCCCTCAAACCAGAGTCCGTCCTGACACCCACTCACAGGACATTGTGTCTGAGTTCATTTGTAACCCTCTCCTGCCTTTTCCTCCCACCAACATCCCCTTACCAACCTCCATTCCAGGACAGAAAGTTCTTCAAGGGCTTCTTTGCAAAAGTAAGTTCTGCTGTGTGCATTTACGTAACGTCCAGAAAATGCTCTATGCAAGTACATGAATTCGAGCGCTTCTAGCTAGTGAAGCTTGATTTTTTTGTCTTTGCTTCAGTCCTCAGTTTATAATCATAATGCCAAATCATGAAGCATTCAGTGTAGCTGCAAGGGCACTATACCATGACTATATGTAATGATAACTCGTACTGTATACAAAGTGTAGGCACATGTCACAAGCAATCCTTAGCTGGTTTATTTTCACATCTAGAGGGCGCTGTTACACTGTGCAACTTGCAGTCATTGTTTATTTAACCAGTTTTCCACACTTTGCCAATTCATCTGTAAAATCAGCATATTGGTCAACCTCTGCTCTTGAGTCCTGAGATCTGGTACCGCTACAGCTATAAAGCATTGAATGTTAAGTGTGCGCAATGGGATTGCACGATTGCGATGCATTGCCCAAGCATTCAGATGTGTGTTTGTGTGCTTGCATAGAGTAAGTTTGTGAGTGTGTACACTTCTTCCCTACGGTGGCCGAGAAGTGCTAAACAAATCACAATTCTGAAAACAAAATAACAAATTACAAAACGCAAATGCAAGTCTAAAAAACAAAATAACAATTCAGAAAACACAACAAAAAATTCAGAAAACATCTCTTCCAAGTGTCTTTTTTTGTTCATGAAAGAGGTTTGGATCAGCATGCGATGCAGGTGGATGAATCAGTGCTGGTATACTCAATTGCACAATTGTCATGTTCAGCGTTTTCTGCCACCTGCTGGTGAGAGTCAGTTATTGCTCATCGGTGCATGAAAGCCTGCTGAATTTTGGTCTGGCAGATGGTCCACTTAGCTGCGTATGAATGCTGCTGAATTTTTAAAAATGTGCAAGCTTTTACTGATGCAGATCTTCTCAAATTTGTAATGAAAATAGTTTATAAATCTGTTGTTAACAAGTCTCCGATTTGCAGTTTTCCACCAAAAACATTTGAATGTTATTCACAGCCAATCACAATTTTAGTATCATTTATTTTCTTGCTCTATAAAAATTAGTATTATTATTGTCATTATTATTATAATTAAATACTCTTTTCATATTCTCAGGACAGTAGTATAATTACTTTAGTAATATATTTATTTTTAGAATTTAATAAAGCTGACATTTTAAAGCTGACAAGTAAACATTTGATCAGTTTTTGCCCCCAGACTCTTGTAGGGGTTTGCATTTTGTCTCTTTTTTTCACCTTTTTTTCTCCTTTTGAATACAGCATGACTACAGATGAGTTGATGTATGATTGTACACTGAAACACTGTTTTGTGAAAATATAAATGACAGTGGGAATGACATGCATTTTGCCGGTTTTGTTCCCAGGATCTCATTCTGGACCAGACGATAGAGAAGGTGTCCTTCTGTGCACCGGATCGTAATTTTGAGCACGCCTTCTCCTACATCTGCAGAGACGGGACCACGCGCCGCTGGATCTGCCACTGCTTCATGGCCATCAAGGACTCTGTGAGATGCTCAGATCTGTCATACACTCTCATGGACACACTGTGGTCCTGCAGTTGAGAGGCTTATGGCCTTATTTTTTCTTATTTGCCTCTTTGTGTCCTCCTGAAAACCAGAAAAAAAAGCTTTGTGAATTTGGTATTTTTTCATGTCATTAGATTGTTTAGAGCATAAGGAAAAAATGGAAAAATAACATTTTTATTTTTATTAATAAAATAACATTTTATTCATATGTTATGCTATGTCCTCTATAGAGGACACCAGGACTAAGTCTATTCAAAGACATGAATTGACATGAAAAGCAAAGGGATTTTTTTTTTTAAATCACCAATCAATTTCATACAATGTATTTTTGGCTATTGCTACAAATATACCCCAGTGAATTAAGACTGCTTTTGTGGTCCAGGGTCACATATGGGTTTTATTTTTTAAAATATATATATATATATACAGTATCTCACAGAAGTGAGTACAGTTGGGCAGCTCCTCTGTCAGCGTGTCTAATCCTGTGGTCACCCTCGCTGGACCCAATGGCTCGTCATCCTCCCCTCCTCTGCCCATGGCCACACTCGCCCTTCAGGAAGCCAATCCTCATGCCATCCCGCGACGCCACGCCACTGTGGATGCTATCGCGCGCCAGGGCTCATTCAGGGGCTTCCCTGCACTCAGTCAGAAGACCTCTCCCTTCAAACGGCAGATGTCGCTGCGCATGAACGAGCTGCCCTCCACCATGCAGCGCAAGTCAGACTTCCCCATCAAAAACACTGGTGAGGCTCTTCAGTCTGGCATTACATCCTCTTTTGAAAAGCTCTCTGGTTTTCACTGTTCCAGAGTTGCAAATAGAATTGTTTGGTCTTTTTTTTCTTATTTTATGTCAGTATAGATCTATATTGTAAGGCTGGATATTGACACACATTTCACGTCTGTGCATCTCTCAGCAGCGTTCAGCAGCAGCGTCTACTAATAGCGAATCTTTAAGTTAAACTCCTTCATGAACCTCACTACTGAGAAATGTCATGTAGCTTTTCAGCTGCGAAACTATTTTACTGATAAATTTGCGGTGCAGCGCTGACAAGAAGTTTCTGTTTGCGTCTCCGCGCGAGTGCGTGTCTGCACTGTGTCTGCACTGTGTCTGCACTGTGTCTGCACTGTGTCTGCGTCTGTGAGAGAGACTGGGAGAAAGAAAGCGTGATTTCCGTAGCCTACATAAAAAAGGTGGAAGACATGGAAATAGTTTGTCATTTTTTACCCTATTGTTTGTTATATTTTTGGTTCTCTTACTGTTGTAGATAGCCCAAATTATAACAAAAAATATTATATATCTCTTCATTGTGTTTGGGCCCCCCCTGGACGAGCGAACACAGGCACGTGCCTAGAATGCCAATGCGTAAATCCGGCCCTGTTAGACGGCAATCGGAAGTTATTACAAACACT